AGGTATTAGAATCGAATCAACATTTTGTTTACATCTACTGCCTTTAAGTTCATTCCAGAATTCTTATTGTGATCTAGTGGAGCATGTTGATTCATCATGATTAACCTTGGTTAACGTGATAAATTAATTCATGAGATTGAATTCAACCAATCAGCCTTCAGTTTATTAAACAGGTCCCAACCTCATTGGTTGTGCTTCTGGTAGTTTTCATGCAACACTGCACGCATTAGCATAAATATATCATGATGATGATTTCTATATGAACGGTTTTCTCTAACATGCTAAAGTTATCATGATGAATAGATCATGATAAGTTTATCACGATAGCTTAAGTGAACGTACCTACTGAGTTTAAGTACCGTAGGAATAGTATAAACAGCATTCCATAAATTGACAAGACTATTATTGTTGTGGCATTTATTGATTCCTAAACAGTAAACAACCTTTAAACTTAAGCTTTACTTGGAACATGGTAATATGGGGGTTTTTTGAAAATCATTCTTCGTAAACTTTTGTTGTTTTGTTTTTTACTTTGTTTTGGCTTTTAGTTGCATCAACCCATTAAATCTACCTCAAGGATGTAGATTTGTAAAAAGTGTTTGTAACATTATTCCCTTCCCTTGTTATGGTGTATTACATTCGTTTAGAAACAAGCTTAACTCGATTGTGGTAATGTGGGTTTTTTCATTTAAAAACATTCTTTGTAAACTTTTGTTGTTTTGTACTTTACTCAGTTTGTTTTTATTGAGTCCTTGTTTTGGCTTTTAGTTGCATCAACCCATTAAATAACCTCCAGGATGCCTGAGTTATAGCGTTTAGACCGTCGTAGACACAAACTTAACTTGGAATTGGTGACTGCTTCTTTTTTTTTTCCATTACACTTCATTCTCCGTAAACCTTTCTACTAAATCAGTCTGCGAAAAGTAATTGGGGGTATGCCAATCCAAGTGGATCCGCGAAAAATATTTGGGTGCGCTAGATTTTAAACCAATTTTTCATGATTCCATTATTTTTCTTGCCTTATACAACACTGTGATAAATTAACAACTAATCATTAAGTGCCATATCAGAATTAAAATGCCTTTGACTTAGGCCGACCCAGGAGGGCCCTAAATTTTACAAAATTAAAAATTAATGGGGAAAAGAAAATTACATTCAATTTTGAGTCTAACAGTGGCATTCCCGCCATCAAGAAGTGCCATAAACAGTAAAAAAAGCGTGGGGGGGGGGGGGGGGGGGGGGGGGGGTGAGGTGGATCGGCAACTCTGTAAAATTGACTTTCGAATTCCAAAATCTGACACTGATTAATGTCGTTTCTTGTGGTAGCATCTTAATCTTTTTGGTGGAATATCAACAATGAGTCGCCCTAAATTTTACCAAATTAAAATTACTGAAAAATAAAGGAAAATTACATTCAATTTTAGAGTCTGACAGTGCCATTCCGACCATTTAGAAGTGCCATAGACATTTAACGTTGGGCTGAGGTGGTCTTGCTGTAAAATTGTCCTTCTGACCCCCTATATTTCGAATTCCAGGAACCGCCAATGTTTAATGTTGTACTTTGTGGCGAATCATCTTTTGTCTAATAATCTTATTGTTGGAATTGACGAGTTTTAACATGTCCCGATGAGTCCACAAATGCAAATAGGTCATAAACGTTATTTGTATCCTTTTGCTAATGACAATGTTCGTTTGTATAACATTACTTGGATTACATGCATGCATGCATGCCAAAGCTACAGTGCACTTTTATTGTTGGTGGATAAAGTACATTTTTTAGTTCCAAAGTATTTAAAGGCGTTGAGATAGAATTTGTAATCATTGCCAACTGTCACGAAGACTGAATCATGAAGAAATTTATACTGGGAGTCTTTATCACCGTTATGGTGATACTTTATGCGAGGCCTAGCCAGGCCTGCTTCAGAACACCAGAACCTGACCCTGTAACTGAACCACCAACACGACGACCACCAGATAGAACACTATGGCCACCAGTAAGAACAGGAACACCACCGCCACCAGATGGTACAAGACTACCATGGGTACCAACAGGAACACGACGACCGCGCAGAACAAGAACACCAAATATTTTTGGGCGGTAGAATAATGGTAGAGTCTCATACCTCCGGTAAGAACTACCAAACAACGTAAATTTGTTTTGTTAATGTAATATGGTAGCACTCTATTGAATAACTATAGTATTTATTCACACAAGCTTTTCGCCAGCAATGAATGCTGCATCAGTCTGCACCTGGTGAAGCCAGCATAGACTGCTGGCGAAAAAGCTTATGTGAATAAATTCTACAGTTAGTAAAGTGCTACCAGTCTTTCATTTTATATATCTACTCTACCAA